AAAAATTGTACTTTGTGACAATGCCAAACCTCCATGTTTTCAATACTGCGATACAATGAGACTCTCCACTTTTGGAGGTAAATAAGACTTCCTGTTATAAAAATAGAATACAAAGTAAACGAAGAAAGCTTAGAAAATAATTAGAGTTAGGCCATTAATAGGTTTATGAATAGTATTTGGTGAAAAGTTAATGTAAGAATTTGGAATAACTTTTTTATGCAAAAGAAATAAGTACCGCGATATTATGAGACACCAGTATAAATTGAGACCATTTTGATGGATTCTGGCAGACCCTTGAAGACACTTAGTATATAAAAAAGAAGAAACAGACGAATAACCAGTTTGTTTCAAAAAATAGTATTTTCGATTTCATTTTAAAATAGGGATGCGATGGCAAGGGACGCATGGCGTCCATATGTGAAAATTCAGAACTAAATAAATAACTTGTTTACATGTATGTAAACATGCACTTATTATTTTAATGAAAAAAAGAGCAAAGAAAAATAACTGTTTTCAATGACATTTGTAATATATCGAATTTTATAATATGAATCTCTCTCTCTCTCTCTCCATACTTAAGTAAATAATAGTGTACGGAATAACAAAACAAAGCAATTTTTGCGATGCTGTAGAGACATTTAAACACTAAAATTTTCATAATTGTGTGTGTGCTTGTTTGTTTGTTTGTTTAACTTTTTTTTTGGAAGAAGGCCACTGCCCAAGTAAACTTCCTAGTGTTTCACCATCTAGGTACATGTACTTCTACCCTGTGTACTGATACTTTTACAGTCAAGAACATTTTGAGGGATTATGCTTTAATTTGCTAAGAAGTGGACCATGTTTTTGAAACTCTTTGAGCGAGCTCCTAAATCCTAATCTAAATATTTTTAACCTCTCCCTACACCAAGGTCAAGGTAAATATGTTATTGATATTCAATAAACAAAGCAAAAAAAGTAGAAAATTTACCAGAAAGATCTTTCCTCTAGAGGGTAAAAAGGAAAAATAAAAAAAAAGAAATATAAGCAAAATTACAGAGAAAAATAAATAAAATTACAGAGAAAAAAGCAAAATGACAGAAAAAGTACCAGTTTGGAGATATTTTTTTTTTAAATACAAAATAATAAATATTTTAGCAGTATTTGGCAGTAATAACAATACTTAGCGGAAACAAATACTCCGATGCTGATCAATTGAAAATGTAAGGGACTGAGTTGGTCGCTTTCGACGAAATGGTAATCGGAGCTAAAGCCACGTGATTTATTAATTTTTATTGTATTCACATAGTTACCTGAGCCTTAAAATCACGTGATAAATTGGAATATTAAACAGGTCACAATGAGGTCAATGACATGTAAATACCCATGTATAGTGAAGGAAACGGTCTGTGTTTTGTACTTTTTTCAAAAAGTTTACCCCAAGCACAGGCTTGCCCAAAATTCTCTTTTGAATATGTTGAATTTCCTATAATTATACATCTTCTGTCCTTTCGAGAAATTTGGGCAACAATGCGCTAACCATGTATTACGGCTTTAAAAATTGGAATAACTTTGAATATCAATGGAGATTCGTGAATTTCAGTGACCCCTCTTACAAAACACAGCTTCGTTCTTTATGTTTACTGACTTTTAATTCCTGTAATTTCTCAAAGTTGCGATTAAGAGATAGAAGAATCGCATTATTAATTTCATGGGGCTATTTTGTATATTTTATTTTTGCGCAATTTACCGGGGGCCACGTTTTGTACACTAAGTGTAATCATTCTTTTCGGGAAGCCCTGTTCCTTCCTCAGGACACAGAAAAGGTTAAAAAGTAATGAAAGGACAAAAGAAATAAAAACAAAAACATCTAACACTACAACTACGCTACTAAACCCTATTTATTTACACTTTTACATTTTGAATTTTGATGTAGAAAATTAATAATTATGAAATGTATCCAGACCACCACGAGGCACGTCCGGTCAATAAATTAATGTATAACAATTTTTTCCCAAGAATTTAAAATTCAAATATTGCTTCTTTAACAAACTTCCTTTCCCCAAAATAGGGTACATTACCAAACATTTTGCAAGATACCAGAGGATACTGTTTCCTAAAAAATATTATTGGAAATCACTTGAATTGTAAATATCACAATTTTTAGTGTATTTATTTTATATATATTTTGAAAACAGTTTAGAAATAAGAAGATGATAAGAATTATAATATTTTTGGTATGGTGCAAAGAGATATAAGAACGAATATTTAAGGAACATGACCTTAAATTACATTGAAATTTTCAAAAAATAGACACTATAGGTAGTGACCTCAAATGAAGTGTAACATTCAATTGCTTTGTAGTTGGGATCTGATATATGGACACATGTATAAACAATGCCATGCTTTATGTGCAGTAAATTTGTCAATCCCATTTTAGGTAAATTAAACATATAATTATGTGTAAAAACCACAAAAATGGTCCATATTTTGAAATTGTCCCTTTTCACTACAATCGAGGCAAGGTAACAAAATTTCGATCTAGGTTTTCTTAGCATGGTACATAAAAATATATATCTAAAATTCGAAAATATTTACCGATCCGTTTTCGGAATTTCCAACTAGATTTGGCCTCGTCAAGCTCAATGTGCGCTTATTTTTTTATTAAACCGCGTTAAGTTGCACACGATTTCACCGGACAGTCCTTTTATGGTAAAAATGTTTGGCACTTCAATAATCTAAGAAGGCAAAACCTATCTGATGTTTCAGATCTTTGAAAACTCTTTAAAAAATTTTCCCAACTTTTTTCAAATAGGGCAGATTTTGGTCGATTCTATTCCAATAACATGGTCGTATACCCTAGTGGTAGGGCGTTTGCTTCGTGATCGGGGGTACCGGGTTCGATTCTCGTTCCCGCTACGCGTCAAACCTATGACGTTAACATAGATAGTTACTGTTCATTCATTCTCCAAGCGCCCGGTATTAGAAGAGAAACTCACGGGTCTTTCGGATATGACCTTAAAAATGTAGGTCCAGTATTATGGTAGGCGTTTGCACAATAAAGAACTCTTATACAGTCCCTGAAACGTTCTACTTTCCCACTTGAACGGTGAACGAACGCTGAACGAACGCAGAGCGAACGGTGAGTGAACGATGTGTGAACGCTGAACGCAACTTGGTGAACGATGTGTGAACGGTGAACGGTGAGCGAACGCAGAACGCGAACGGAGCGCAAACGCGAACGCAAAGTGAACGGTGAACGAACGGTGAACGCAAGATGAACGATATATTCGGAATGCCTCTGATCTTTTCCTTGCATTGAAACTATTATATTGTATTATAATGTCAGGTGCAAAAAAAAAAAATAATAATAATAAATAAGTAAACAAATTAATGAATGAATAAACAAGTCAATAAAATAAATTCTCCAAAATTGACCTAAGAAAGACGATGCATGCACATTAAGTTTTTAATCACACGATTTTTATCGCATTAAAACATTGCAATTGTTGCCGAACGTTGAAGTATAAAAGATATTGTTTTTAGTTGGAAAATAAAAATGTTTATTCTTATATCACCGAGCAAAATTAACGTTTTTGAAATAAATAACTTTTCAATATATTATACTAAATTTGGACGTTTATCTGTTAAATTCTCTATCTATTATCATTGTATGTCTATTATTTAGTTGATTGAATATCATTCTCTTTGAAACTGGATTAAGACATTGTCACAATTTGTGATAATGGCATGGAAATATTCCCTCGCTGTAACCAAATCTTTGAAAAAGAACAAAGAGTAAGTGCAAACAAGTTTATTATAGTGCTCCAAAAAAAAAATGCAAAGAATATCTGCACACACACACAACACGCACATCTACAACACTCGCACAAATAAAAAAACAAACAAACAAACAAACAAAATAATAATAAACAAAAAAAAAAAATAATGATAGTATCAATATACCGACTATAATAGAGTCATACCAGACCCGACAAATGTTTTATTGCCATGTGCGAATAAAATCAAAATCGGAAACACTGACTGGCGAGACCACAGAGGTTGACCCAAGACGTTACCGTATACTGTTCATGGACACACAGTCGTTGGTTACTCATGGAATTACGGTTACGATACTGTCCAAAGGTCGCACGTCCCTCTAGCCTTCAACGCCTTAGTACGTAGAATTTCCTCGAATGTCTCAGTATGCCATAATGTTCATCTGCTACTGTAAACACGCACATACACAGCTGGTCACCTATAATAACACATTATTTAAAGGTCTGGGTTTCCATAGTCGGTAATAAACGCATTCATAAGGAATACTTGAATATGTCGGGTACATTATCTAGTACAAATAAAACTGAACTTAACAAAGTAATGAAATAATAACTTTTTCTTTTAAAAAAAAATAACAAAAAAAACCTAGCTAACAAAATATACAGTTCAAACTCACCGCTGCCAAAGTTCTCAAAATTACTCTACTGTCCACACAGGAAAACTTCTCGAACACACACAAAACATTCAGGCCCAAAGCACGTAGCTATTTCTCTCGCGACCACACAGGTCATACAACATTTGTACTTAGGAAGGACACACCTTCTCACTTCTACGGCCTGCTCAGAACTAACTTACACGTAGACAAAATTGTTAAAACCGGTCTGGCAGCCGTGACCAGCTATCCGTAACGACTATACGATGAGAGTGAACCTATGGTACACCATAACCAACATAATCAAATTAAACAAAATTGTGACAATACCTCCCCTTTTAAGTTTCAAAATTGGAAATCATATTTTGAGAGTAAACATGAAACAACTATATTTACAAAACATGACGACTCAAAAAATCAGCGCCCACGTTATCAACACCTTTGATAGCATGAACTACAAAATTATAGGACTGCAGAAAGATGGCCCAGCGCATTAACCTACCATTTGAAACTTTTGATCTGTTCAGATACACCAATGGCTGATGATCTGTCTGCAAAAGGAAAGTCCTACCGTACAAGTGTGCCTGAAATTTTCTTACAGCCCATACAATAGCTAAGCACTCTTTCTCAATCACAGAATAACTTCTCTCTCTTTCATTCAACTTTCTACTGGCATATGCCACTGGAAACATTTTCTCATGCATTTGCAATAAAACAGCACCTATTCCGTAGTCGGAAGCATCTGTTCTGAGAAAGAAATCTCTTTTAAAGTCTGGGAGTCTCAGAATTGGGGCATGTAACAGTAATGACTTTAAATTCATAAAAGATCTCTCATGTTCATCGCACCATTCAATTTTATTTGGGGTGCCTTTTTTAGTCAAATCCGTCAAAGGACAAGCAACAACAGCAAAATTGGGAACAAACTTACGGTAATAACCAATCAGTCCCAAGAAAGAACGTACCTGTTTCTTGGTTTCAGGAAGAGGGGCATTCTTGATTGCTTCAAGTTTGTCATTATTAGGTCGCATTACACCATTTCCAACTGAGTGACCTAAAAAATCAAGTGAGCTAAAACCTATAAAACATTTAGAAGGTTTTGCATTCAGTTTCCCCGACCGTAGTCTTTCTAATAGACACCTAATAGACACCAAATGTTCTTCCCAAGTTTCAGAATGAATTAAGATGTCGTCAATGAAACTATCGGTATCTTTTAAATCTTTCAACAGAACACGCATCATACGATTAAATGTCGCCGCCGCGTTTGATAAACCGAATGGCATTACTTTGAACCTAAACAAACCATCAGGAGTGACGAATGATGTCAGGTCTTTGTCCTCATCCCTCATAGGAATTTGCCAGTATCCTTTGCAAAGGTCTACTTTAGTAAAATACTTACTTTGTCCAATTCTAGCAAAAATTTCCTCGGGATCAGGCATTGGTTCGGCATCAAACACTGTCACCTTGTTTAGCTTTCTAAAGTCGATGCATATTCTCTTAGAACCATCAGCTTTCTTGGCAACAACAATAGAGCTGGCGTACGGAGATTCGGACGGCTCTATAATGTCCATCTCAATCATTTTCTTGATTTCGTCCCTAACGGAATCACGCAATGCAAATGGAATTTGATACGGCTTGTTGCGAATAGGATCCGTAGTTGTCAGATGTATCTCATGTTGAGCCAAATGAGTAAGATTAGGTAAATCAGACAAAACATCTTTGAATTCTGATAAAATCTTTTTAAAGTCCTCTTGTTGCGATTCAGTCAGATCCGCGTCAACATTCACGTTTTCAAATGTTTCCTTGGCTTCGGAAGGCGGTATCTCTAGAGGGAAATCACTCTCGACTTCTAAATTCTCACCATCTTGAGGTATTTCTTCTTCTATGACAGAGCAAGAACTAAGAACTTCAGGTGAATTTGTTTCTCTTTCAACATACTTCTTCAAAAGGTTAGCGTGGAAAGTCTTGATTTTGCCCTGAACATCAACTTTGTAGTCAGCCATTCCACATTTGGAAACGATGGTAAATGGACCCTTCCATTGCATGAGTAGCTTATTGTTGTCCGTTGGAAGGAGGATTAAAACCTTGTCCTGGACACTGAATGAACGTGACCTTGTTTTCCGATCGTAATATTTCTTATAGCGCTGACTGGACTTCTGTAAGGACTTTCTAGCTAATTCACATGTCTCTTCTAAGCGCTCTTTCAAGTCGATCACATATTGATAAGTGCTCTTGACTTCTGGGTCTTTTAATTCCTTCGTCCACATCTCTCGTAGAACTGTCATCGGTCCCCGGACTGATCGACCATATAATAATTCAAATGGGGAAAAACCCATGCTATCTTGAGGAACTTCGCGGTATGCAAACAATAAAGGTGCTATATACCTGTCCCAGTCTTTGGGTCTTTCAGCAGCCATACGTCTAAGCATTTGTTTAAGTGTTCCATTGAACTTTTCAACTAAACCATTGCAGGCAGGATGGTACAGAGTGGTTGTTAGTTGTGCAATGGAAAGTAGACGACCTACCTCTTTCATAAGGTTAGACGTAAACTGGGTTCCCATATCTGATAAAATCTCCTTAGGAATTCCAAGTCTAGTGAAGAATTCAAACATTGCCTCAGCAACACGTTCCGTCTCAATGCCTTTCAGTGCGACGGCTTCAGGGTACCTTGTACTGTAATCTACCATAGTGAGTACATACCTATTCCCACGATCGGTTGCTGGAAAAATTGGCCCAATCAAATCTACAGCAACTCGCTCAAATGGAGTATCAATGAGGGGCACTGACTCTAGTGGCACTGGGGAGACCTTACCTCTTGGTACGGTTCGCTGACACACGTCGCAGGATCTACAATATCTTCCTACATCTCCTTGTACTCCAGGCCAATAAAAGTTAGACAATACCCTATCCGTTGTCTTTTTAATTCCCAAGTGACCAGACAGTACACAATCATGTGCAAGTTTCATAACTGTAATGCGGTGTGGTGAGGGAACAACAAACTGTCTAAAAATGTTATTGCTACTCACCTTCGGAGACTGAAAATATCGGAACAACAGATCATCTTCAATGACAAACCAAGACAAATTCTGTTGTCCTGTGAACTTCCGAACACCAGTCCTTGCATATTCCCGATACTTATCCAGTGTAGCGTCCTCACTTTGTGCAACTCTCATATCATCTACTGAGGTAAAATTGTCAGTGATACTAGTTACCTTCAATGTTTTGTACTTTTCTTTTTCCTTCTGAACTTGATTTCTTGTCTGTACGGCTGAGCCTACCACCAATTCTTGTGTATCGATTTCCACAACTTCGTTGTTATTTCTGCGAGTGTCCCATTTTGGATCAGGGTCTGATGGATCTCTGGCGCCGTCTATATTACCTATGATTAAACCATAGACTGGGTTGTTCATACATAGAGCTTTGACCTTACCTGATATGAACGGTGTATGTATGTTGATGTACGCCTCAGGAACTTTCCGGACAGTTCCGTCAATGAGTACACATTCCACATTCCGCCCTGTCAGCTGGTCTTGAGAAACTAGACTGTGTTTTACTACAACCCCACTGCATCCACTGTCTCGCAGAACCTCCACAGGATGATTACCTACATACCCATCTGAAACTGGCATATTATGACAAACACGACAAGCTCCACCAATAACTGGTAACATATGTCCACAGCGTAATGTTACTTGATTGTTCTGTATGCAGCAATCTTTTAGTTTATCTGACAAAATGCACAAAGAACCTACATGTTTACCTGATTCAGGGGATTGGTTTCCTTGTGGATTCTCTACCTCAAAATCCAATTTCTGGTGCTGTGACTTCGTAGATCGGGAAGTAGCCCTTGATGAAGAACCAGAGGTTAACATCGCTGCGCTTTTGTAAGTGTGGGTACGATTTCCTTTCTTAAGCCTGTCAAAACAATCTCTAGCGATGTGTCCAGTTCGACCACACTCATAACACTTTCTATCATTCTTACCTGTACTTGAAAAAGGTTTCTTTTGAACCGTTGTTGATGTTGACCTCACATCATCGGTCGCTACTCGATAATTTGTGCGATCGTAAGAAAATGAAGAAGTGCCATGAGCTTCAATAAACTGTTCTGCTAAACGCGTCATTTCCTTAACATCTTTCGGGTGACGTTCTCGTAAGAAAGTAGCTAAAGTCTTACTACAACTTGAAATAAATTGTTCGCGCAACATAAGATCTTTTAAGCCTTCAAACGTTGATGGGGATTTCGCGAGTTCCATCCACCTTTTCAGATAATTGTCTAAACGCGCGAAGAATTGAGGAGGATTCTCCCCCTTTTCTGGCTTACTACCTCTGAATTTCTCGCGGAAACCTTCTTCAGACAATCTAAACCTCTGAAGCAACGAACATTTGAGCTTATCATAATCAAATGCATCGCCAGGAGATAAACGAGAGTAAACCTCAAGAGCAGTACCTGTAAGCAAAGCACTAAGATTTATTGACCATGTATCCTTAGACCATTTAGCATTTTCTGCAAACCTTTCAAATCTTTGTAGATAAGCGTCAATACAGTCTCTTTGATCATTAAATGGAGGAAGTTTGGGCAACTTAGCACGACTTTGAACAGACACATCAGGGGACATGGGGGTACTTTGATGCTTAGAGTTAATTTCTAATGCTAATGCCTCTGCTTTTGCTCTCTCTAACTGAATTTGTTTTTCCATCAATGCCAAATGATTGTTTGATTCTTTCATTTGCATCTCCATGCTCAACTCTTTTTCTTTTCTCCTAGACTCTTGCTCACATTGCACTATCTGCAAATCAAGTTCTTTCTCTTCTCTTTTCGCCTCTCTTTCCTTTGCTCTCTCCTCTCTTAACAATTTATCTTCTTCAATTTTTCTTTCAGCTCTCTCTTTTTCTCTAACATATTCTAACAACTGATCTCCTTGCAAACCTAACTTTTGCCCAATCTCTACTAATTTCTCTAACTCTTTCTCCATTTTCAAAGTTCAGTTAAATCAGCGTAAGGATAATGTGATCTTAAATATTTCCATCCCGGACGAGCCCCCAATTGTCACAATTTGTGATAATGGCATGGAAATATTCCCTCGCTGTAACCAAATCTTTGAAAAAGAACAAAGAGTAAGTGCAAACAAGTTTATTATAGTGCTCCAAAAAAAAAATGCAAAGAATATCTGCACACCTGCACACACACACAACACGCACATCTACAACACTCGCACAAATAAAAAAACAAACAAACAAACAAACAAAATAATAATAAACAAAAAAAAAATAATGATAGTATCAATATACCGACTATAATAGAGTCATACCAGACCCGACAAATGTTTTATTGCCATGTGCGAATAAAATCAAAATCGGAAACACTGACTGGCGAGACCACAGAGGTTGACCCAAGACGTTACCGTATACTGTTCATGGACACACAGTCGTTGGTTACTCATGGAATTACGGTTACGATACTGTCCAAAGGTCGCACGTCCCTCTAGCCTTCAACGCCTTAGTACGTAGAATTTCCTCGAATGTCTCAATATGCCATAATGTTCATCTGCTACTGTAAACACGCACATACACAGCTGGTCACCTATAATAACACATTATTTAAAGGTCTGGGTTTCCATAGTCGGTAATAAACGCATTCATAAGGAATACTTGAATATGTCGGGTACATTATCTAGTACAAATAAAACTGAACTTAACAAAGTAATGAAATAATAACTTTTTCTTTTAAAAGAAAAATAACAAAAAAAAACCTAGCTAACAAAATATACAGTTCAAACTCACCGCTGCCAAAGTTCTCAAAATTACTCTACTGTCCACACAGGAAAACTTCTCGAACACACACAAAACATTCAGGCCCAAAGCACGTAGCTATTTCTCTCGCGACCACACAGGTCATACAACATTTGTACTTAGGAAGGACACACCTTCTCACTTCTACGGCCTGCTCAGAACTAACTTACACGTAGACAAAATTGTTAAAACCGGTCTGGCAGCCGTGACCAGCTATCCGTAACGACTATACGATGAGAGTGAACCTATGGTACACCATAACCAACATAATCAAATTAAACAAAATTGTGACAGACATTCCAATTGACTTTAAGTGACTGTCAAAAGAATTGATACTCGTTATAGGTGTAAATGCCTCAGGACCTGTTAGTCTAATATCAATAACTTTGTTTATATAATTATTTAGCAATGTCTTTTATGTCCATTCCATCAAAGAAACACACCTGTCTATCAATTAACTCAGCTAGTGTCATAATTCAATTATTGTTTACTCTCTATCTTACAAAAAGCTATGTACATTATACTTTCTTCAGTTGGGAGGCCCGATGCTCTACCGGCCACATCCAACTCGATTAAGACTTGTAAGCTTTTGTTGAAATTCATGTTCACTGTTATTTACCATCGTGTATAATAAATTCGGAAACCTGATTTTACCAGTTCTTGGACATTATATTGGAAGACCATAAGGAATACGGCACCTTTCTCGTTTGAATTGTATTACGGCCCCACAGCGCCGCTACTTTATTACCGCCAACATTCCTTCTTCCCCGTTTACGATAAAACAACGGATATAGACCAGGAATTAATTTTATAACTTATAACCAAAATCTAACTGGTTATACTTATTTGATAACAAATCAGAAAAAAAACTTATGATTTATAGAATGAATTAAAGCGGTTGTAACTTATATTTATATATATATATATATATATATATATATATATATATATATATATATATATATATATATATATATATATATATATATATATATATATCTCCGTGTCAAGGCGATTTCATGTAAAGTAATGAAAAAAAAATAATTACAATTATACGCTCGTATTTTAGATTTTTAATACAATAATGTATTATGTGTCATTTTTTTTTTCATTATGATTTATTGAGCAGACGTCTACATGTATCTCTAGATGGCGGTGGTTATACTCGGACAAGATGATACAAAGATACATATTCATATTATTTGTTATAAATTCAATTTTCAGAACATGATATTTAAATAATATGGTGTTATAGTTTTTATTAAACAGACAAATGAGAGAGAGAGAGAGAGAGTACTATTCAGTTTTAGCCCCCCCCCCCTCCTTTCAGGCTTCACCAAATGCTTGTACCTATATCAAACAAAAACTCTGAATTTTTTTTCTAAATATATCAGACAGTGAAAGTAACTTTTTTTTTTTATCAACAAATCATATCCATTTGTTCGACAGTCATACTCGTTTTTATTTTCCTGCTTCAAGTTCACACGAAGTCCACGTGCTTGTCCTATCCTGTCATTCGACACTGTGCAGGTGTGAAAGTTTCGTCACATCGAAGACGAAGTGCGAGTATTTCCAACAAGTTATAACATTTATTTTTATCATTTCTAGATTTGATTCCAACATTTGAATAATAAATTAGTAAATTACATTGGGCATTAACACTTGAATGTGAAACATACTCTCTGCCAATTTCAAATACCACAGCCGACACGTGTACATTTTGATCTACTATTGTTTTGTGACTTTTTTAGGTGTATGTTTGTTTTGAGACTGAATTTTTTGTTCTAAAAAAGACCGTAGCTTTTTTTTAAAATGTTAATTAAAATATTCTGGAAATACGGTACTGACTAAGTCACCGATTTAGGGGGAAAAGGGGGGGGGGTGGTATTAATCATATCGAATGGCAAACATGTAAAGTTACGGTGAAGAAAGATTTTTTTCTCTATTACTATAGACTTCACATATTACAGTAGAGAAATTCTGTAGTGCATTACATTTTAAATAAATATTTCCTTTAACCACACTATCATTTTAATTCGTTCTAAAGATAATAAATTAACAGGATATCTGCAGTACTATGTATAACTCTCAGAACTTATATTTTGTGTAGTAATTGAAGAAAAAAAAACGTAATAAAAATAAATATTTTCGAAATTTTGCTGCGTAATTATTCGACTTGAATAATTATATCTCCATTAAAACAACAAAACAACAAAATGTTGCACTGCTTAAAGTATTTGCACATTGCCCTTAGTTAAATTTAATATTTCAGCATCGTTCTACATAGGTACAGAATGTGCTTGTAACAACATTTATTTTCCAGAGTAATTTAATAAATATCCTAACAGCTAAGTTAGAATAATAAAAATATATATCGTAGATATTTTTCCTCATGTAATAATGATTCTTCAAACACGATATGTTAGTTAATAAATTTAAAAAAAACCTGTAACTCCTTAACTACAAAAAGATAAGTCCTTTCACTTCAGAGTTCCGAATGACAATGAAAACTGAACGATAGGTGAACGCTGAACGCAAGGTGAACGCAAAGTGAACGGAACGAAGAGCGAACGCTGAACGCTATGTGAAAGGTGAACGCGAGCGCACGGTGAACGGTGAACGCAAAACTGTGAACGGAGAGCGAACGGTGAACGCACGCTGAACGAACGGTGAACGCACGCTGAACGAACGGTGAACGAACGGAAAAATGGGAAAGTAGAACGTTTCAGGGACTGTAGTATATAACGTCTTAGTATTTGGAAAACATTTTTAAATTTAAACGACTGTAAAAAAAAACAACTAAATCTACTTTGTTAAAAAATGAATTGTTTTATACCTACAAATCTTAAAGTATTATTAGAAAAAGTTTCATTTATTTTGATGATTAGACCGATTTTGATTCTTCATGTCGCTAATTCTTTAACCTTCAGTTGATAAATGCACTATTCATTGAATCTAAATGATCGATATCAATACTATAAGCAAAAGGAGATTAAAAGAAAGAAATACATTTTTTTTCAATTCCATGTACGAGCAATAGAATTATACTTAAAGAATAAGAAAAAACATCTTTTTCAATACTACTACCTTCCACACCAAATGTGTTGTAAGTAAAGACAATTGTATGCAAGAAGAAGGTACACTTTCAATACAAATCTGGCCTTGTGCTTATCTAAAATTTTAAATAATTGTGAGAAATTAAAACTCATGCCTTCTGACTGTTCAGCTTCTATGCAGTAGGATCATACAAATCGTTTTTCTCAAATGACCTACTAAATGCTAATTGTGACGTCGCGAACTGATGCATTTTCCCGTATTTTCTGAAAAAGTTGCAACAAAAGACGTCAATTTTTACAAAATATGGACCACATGCATCGCCCAAAAACATTTTGAAGTTTGATTTATCCGAGATTTTACAAAACACATCCAAAAATAGAAGTTGGGGACGGCTGTGGACGATATTTTCTAAAAGAAAAATACCTCCTGAAATGAGTCATTTTGAGGCTTTTTCCGTTTAAAACTTAGAAATGAGACAAATTATTGACAACGTATTTCCACAACGGTCCTCTTTTAAGCTATATTCTTTAATGATTTATCACATTCATATATTCAACTCATATTTTAAGAAATTTAATTTTTTTTTATAAAATCAGATCTATTAGGGCAAAAGAAAGCCAAAACTTTACCTACTTCTTTCTTTAAGATGATATGAACGGTTATTTGCAATTGATAAGAATGGAGAATTAGTAATAGCTGTAATTTGTCTATTATAGGAACTGCGACCAGATATTGTGATTTTAAAGGTGTTTGGGAAACCCCAAATCTCATCAATTGTACTGATGTCGCTTTTGTAAATGCCAATAAAGAGGTACGATTTTGAATATTGAATGCAGTTTAATATCTTAAATTATGGAAATAAAAAAAAACAAATAAAGATATAAAACCAATTTAAAATCTGAAGAACTTTTATGAAAGATTCTTTCCCTCTAAAAATATCTTTTATTCTATCAGGGACATAAAAAACATCTTAATTCATCTTAAGATGGCATACTAACATTGGACAGAGACGCAAATAAATATATTCTTTTCACAAACACATTTATAATGAAGTTATTCTCAAGAAATAATAACATTTCAGGTGACGCATAGTTTGATATTTTGTTGATGAAAAATCTGGGGGAAATTTATGTTCGAAACTGTTCTCCGACACACGAGAAGTTTTCTTATATTATTATTCTATTAAGATATAAATTTATATATACTTTATTTTTCGTTTTTGCAGTTGGACAGTATAATTGCTGATGGTATAACTGAGAATGTAGATGAGGCAGTGAACAACACTTTAGTGAAGATGAAGAACCTGACATCAAAGAGTAGTGTACTGAGTGCCGGGGATATCAGCTCATCTCTTGACATCCTAGAGAAGATAGTCAACGTCACAAATCTGACGAGTGCAAATGTAGAAAAAGAGGTGAGTTAATCGTTATACGAGGGTTGTCGGGTAAAATTCTGGGCATGTTGTCTAGAGTGAAATTAATCAACACTGCGTTTTAAAATTTTTCCAAATGAATAATATATTATTCATTAATATACATATAGCATATTTCTTATAGAAACGAAATATATCATTGTAGTCTATGTGTGGTATCGCCCTACGGCGAATGTATATAAGGTGTTCATTTTTAAAACTGCATTTCAAAACTTTTTTACGTACGTTTGTCCAATTTGAAAATCTAGATTACGCTCAATGTTATCTTTCAAATAATGAAGAAATACAAGTCATTTTCAGATTTAAATACTTTTATGTTCCTTAGTTTGTATAACCTTGCCAAGGAGACTGAACTCGTTTTTTGTTCAAGACAGGCGAAAAAGAACACTTGTGTTAGAATGAATAATGTCATTTATTTAGTAAATGACGAACAGATTTATACAAAACGGGGGATCATTTCATAAACATGTTACTATAATAGTAATAATACTTGTAGTGCTAAATGCAATCATGACACCCTATTATACACACATATGAAAATAAATATCTACACAAAACAAAAGAAAGAAGTCCAAAGGACTAGAGAGATTATGCAACACATGCACAAAAAACCATGACAGACACCCTACTGTAATCACATATGTAAAATATAGCGGGTAGCCACAAAAATTTAGGCTTAGGCCAAAGCCCACAAAAATTAGGCCAAGCAAAAACTAAGGTGGGTACAAATTTTACTGCTCAGCAATTACGTGGCTTCTCGTCCAAAATAAACAGATCAATAAGTGACAAGTGACAAATTGAACACTCCTGATTGGATTACATGTACAAATTGGAGGTAAGGTTAAAAAAAAATTGACCACAGGATGATTACATACACTAAGTAAGGAACAGGGTAAAATGAGGGAAACAAATAAATAAACACTGCACATATCACATAAAAGTTATTATTTACACTAATCACTTATTTTACATTCCAGTATTTGATTTTTCAACATAAAACTGGATGCCAAAACTTTATAACATCCATACAAACAAAGATATATTACAAGGCACTGCAAATGCCTTAAAAAGCTCCTATCTTCACTTCTCACGTAATAATAACTTAAGAGACTTCAGACGTACTGTGTTACAACAGTGTAAATCAAATGGGAATTCTCAAAAACTTAATTTTAAAAAAATTTAACTTGTTTTCCAATATCAGTAACATCAAAACAGATGACCTTTCAACATTTTATACAATTATTTCCCAAGATATTTAATTAAAAATAATCATATCGACATCAAGGACAACCGCTTCTTCAATAAATATGAAACTCAGAAATGATCTCATGTGATCGGTCATTTGCAAAATCTTAAATTACTTTGTTAAAAATCCCTCTAATTCTACACTTAAGTACTCTGATAATGATATTATAAAAGATTCTGGAGTTCTTAATTGATGATATATATGTAGTCGTTGGAGGCCAGGTCTTCTAACAATATGTTTGAATTTTGATTGGTACTAAATGTTCTTCTTTAAATGCCGACCTGCTTAAATAGTTGTTGCATGGAGCGAAATTTATTTAAGTGAAATACAAAAAAGAATAAATTTTGCTGCGGCCTATTCGACATTATGTAGTTGAGGAAAACATTAAAAGTTTACCCCAAGAAATCCATTGTCAACCGAGGCGCAGACGAGGTTGACAATGGTTTTCTTGGGGCAAAAACTTTCAATTTTCCCTAAACTACATGCAATATATACTATTTTATACTGAATGCGTAATACAAATTCATATAACAGTGAACTGTGCATAAATAAATCCCGCGCAGTCAACAATTTTTGGAATATCATCCGTTGTCAAGTAATACCGGTATTTGCTTTTGCTACGCTGAAGGGCGTGGTTTCATTATCAGAGGGCCAACAAAGTTACAAGAAAGTATAATATTAGAATATATCTATGAATTTTTAGTTACATCATTAATTGCTTTCTTTCATACAAAATGAACTCTCAATAACTGACACCACAGACTTCGCCACATTTAATAATTGGATGTGTATATATATGCAAAGGGACAAGGTGACTCAGGTACCTCTTGTTATTGTAAACAATTATTTATATACATTTATGTGCATATTGTTATTTACTTTATTATAAAAAGACAAATTAATGTCCAGGAATCATCAAAAAGAAAACTAATACACTGTAAGTAACAATTCTCAGATTCTAGATCTTGGTATGCACAAAATATAGTTCGTTAAAAAATACTGTATATTATTGTAATTGGAGACCCATTTCAGGCCTTCTTCGAGGTTGTTGACAACGTTTTATCAACAAACAATTCCAAATCATGGACTGCCGTCAGCGATAAGGTAATGACTCTTTGATAATATGATTTTATGTAAAAGTTGTAAATAAATGTTGTTAATTTTGAGACAAGAAAGAAAACATCAGAGGCAGCTTAATATTATAATACTATAAAGAAAAAATACATAAATTTTTAAATCGCCCTATATGTTTCATTTTTTGTACAATCTTATATCCAATAACAGACAGAAAAGGATGCTAGTTCACTTTTAAAGAATATGGACCGAATGAGTGAAGTTGTTTTGAAGAAAGAAAACATAACGGCATCTAAATTCAAAGGCAAAAATTTTGGTAATCAATTAATCTCCATTTTATTTCTATCTGCAAAGAGATTTTGATGATTCAAGTAGTAATAGTTTAGTCAATTTGCTTTTTAAGAGGTGTCTGTTGACAAAACAAAGGTAGATGAAAGGGGAATTGTTTTCCCAGAAAAATCCGAGAACACACCAAATGATACTTCAACGGATTCGAAGGAATATTCCACATTTCTTGAATTACCAAAGCAAACAAATAAAATTGAAAAAGGTAAGTCAACAATGCAATTTCTTTCATTCCATTCGAGTTTAGCAAACAAAAACATTGACTTTACTCGGAGTCCACAGTTGCAAACCCTTTATGTTCCGTTGAGCACGGAATAAATTAAATTCAATAGTTTATGTAATTATGTATCTTGCATTCTTGAAGGAAATAGTAGGTAATTTTTTGTGATATTTCTTGTAGCTGTTACTTATGTAGCTGTCATATACAAGACGATTTCAGATATTTTACCCACGGATTCAAGTTCAGACACGTAAATATAGAAATATTTCTTAAGATAATGATTAATCCGTATTTTTTTTAAAATCTTATATTTGCTATTTCAAAGAATTTTTTTCCAACTCCACAGATACTATGAATCAATATAAACTTTGTGTTTTCGCATGCATTGCAATTTTTGCAGCTTTCAAATGAAACTTCTGATGTCATGATTCAATTACCAGAACAAAATCATGTATTATTTTTGAAAAATATCCCCAAAGTAAAATTGATATGCACGAAAAATATACGGAAGTTGCTTGAAAAATTCAATCAATTTTTTTTACGAATACAGGGATAAGACAAAGAATTTATATATAAAAGTTACATTTGAGATCTTTTAGAAGAAATTCTTGTTTTTCAGATTACAGCTTTCAATATCGCTTGGCAAGATTGGACAATTTGATATAATATTTGAAATTTTCAGAGAAAATTCGGACGAGGTAAAAGAAGGAAAAGATACAACAAAAGATTTCGTTAATTCTGAAATTCTTTCACTTACTACTCAGACTGATTTGGGAATTCTCTCCCCTCCTCTCAGTTTAGCCTTTCAGCACAAACGCAAGGTATGATTTTACTGATAGGTTCGTAAAACATTGGTAGTCCAGATTATTAGAATATAAAGTGACATTATGTTTTGAACTGGAAACTTCCATTTTCTAAACATTGAATTTCATGGTTTAGTAATTACTAGATAAATTACAACTGAACTATTTTTACTTCATTCTCTAGATTTCAAAATGACAACGTTGGTATACCTTATTTATTTCTTTTTTGTAGAATAAAAGTACTGACCTTCAAGTAGTTTGTGTGTCTTGGGATTTCACCATTAAGTAAGCCTTTAAACTACATAACCCTATCTACATGTACTGATAAGATAACCTCTGAATTGTTTTTTTTTCAGTTAATATGAAAATAAAATTGAGAACTTATATTTTTCTTTCCACTTTTTCTACAATGTATCTTTGCTTTTCGATTTGTCTTTGTAAAAAAACATAAACAAAACAAAAAAAAAAAAAAAAAAAAAAAAAAAAAAAAAAATACACGTAATTCAAATTTATAATACAGGGCATATTTATCTAATTTATTCTGATAATTACATTTTTTATGCAAGCAAATGGTCTGAAAAGGGTTGCAAAGTAAATTCCACCAACAACAAGAGGACAGTTTGTCAGTGTAACCATCTGACTAACTTTGCCATTCTGATGAGACCTTACACACCTGTAAGAAAATTTTCAATAACCAACCTTAAGATCTAAAAACACAATTTTTAAAATTTGCAAGAATGAGAGAGAGAGAGAGAATCTGCAGTCATTATCATTGTATTCTATTACTTAAATAACTTTCATTTTATTTATTTATTTAAAGGAGACTGAAGACAAAGCATCACTGAAGACTTTATCCTTCGTTGGTGTTATTGTCTCCATTGCTTTTACAGTTTTAACCTTTATTATATTTATTCTGACTTGGAAGTATGTATACTTTGTGTTATATCTTATATCTAAGAAACTTGATTTGAAATCAAAGTTGTTTTTTTTCTAGTAGGGTATATCAAGGGTATATTCATGTAATTATTTTAGACAAGTAAGGAGTGATCAAAATACAATGCTGCTTAATCTTTGTGGATCGCTGGTCGTATCCTACATCGTCTTCATCACAGCTGTTGAAAAGACGGAAAATGAGGTACACAACACTTTATACGATGGAATGTTTTCTTTAAAAATCACAAATCGAGATAATATCTATACTTATAAATTAATAAATTTTGCAAATAAACTCCGAAACGGGTGCACCAGAGTTCTTACTAACTCCTCTATGAATACACTAGATACAATATGTACAAGATAATGTCCGTAAACTATTCAGATTTCACTCGCAAAGTAAGTATCGTACATGAAATTTAAAGTCTACTTCCATTTTCTATAAATAGCCATGAAATAGCAAAAACGTGAGTACGGTGGCGGTTCCGATTGGCGGATCAAAGTTACTGGCAATTTTTAATGAAACTGACAACAAGCAATCGTTTATTAATTTCATTAAACGTCATCACTGAATTATTCAACCAAAACTTGATTTAAATGATATAAAAGAAATAAGTTGTGAAAACCGATTAAAAAGGGAAATGTGCAAATTATTTTCGTCATTCACCGATCTCAATATTGACGGAAACTTCTAAAACATCATATAGCATCGAGCCCAATGTTAAAAAAAACCGAGGCGATCATAGCTGCATGAACATAAAAAAAAGCTTTTGTGTGAATGGTCATTGAAATAATGGGAAATCATTGATAGCACTATAATTTGTGAATACATTTATATATCAAAGACTATTAGTAGGTTTTCCTAATAAATTTATCGGTAAAATTTGTATATTCCTCGCTGAGAGCATCGTGGCAACGAACCCGAAGTACATTTTTTTCACATGTTGGCTAGGCCAGGTCACAGCATGCAGGCGATACTGAAATTACTTAAAGAGTTGTCACTACCTTGATTGTAAGTTATTCGTTTGTACAATGTATTTGTTTTGTAAAGGCCTATCACAAAGAATTACACACGATCTGTAAAATCGTAGATTTAAAATCAATCTATTTTGTTTATTTGATGTCAACTCGAATTTTCTAGGTTCTATATTTCGTAACATGTTATGGGGTCTCGGATCTGAAAATGTTTTCACTAATAAATATTAATCAATCGCTTGTCTTAAAATGCCAACGGCAATTTCTGAAACGCTGCATGTTAGTATGGAATATAGTCCAACGTTAACCATTTTTATGACGTTTATGATGCCTGCCGATGCTCATCTTCGCTAGCCAAGGGTTTCTGATCCGAGAGTCCCTTGGCTAGCGAAAATGGTCGATGCTTATTTATATTTTGTAAGGTGGTGAAACAATCATTATATATACGTCCTCGAAGTTGCATCTGATGTAATCAACTTGTAGCTATTTCGACTCCGCCACTGATGTACACGTTTTTCGGGTGTTCCCCTTTGATTACATAGTGACCATGGTGACGAGTAGTCGGTAGTTGGAAAAAAAACAAAATACAAATAAATAGGCTAGGAATTATTATTTTAAACATTTCAGCATATTGATGAGTTAAATAGAGATCAGCTATGTGAAGAAAAAGTCTTGGGTCAGGACTGAGGCACGTAGTACACACAAGTACAAAAAGTCGACATTATTGCTTCTGCATGCGGTCTCGTTTAACAAGAGTTTTTCGTACTTTTTTGCGCCACAACACATAAAATAACATATTATAGACAGAACATTTGCATTTCTAAACTTTTGCGTATTTACAAAAGCAATACAAAATCTTTTTCTTTTTAATTTATGTGAGGTACGGTATACCCCGTAATTTCCACTGTGGTAGTCGGTGCTTAGAGATTGGAATCGAACTAAAAGTAAAAATTTCGATTTGGCCACACCCCTCGAACAAAATTAAAATATGCTCTACTTATTCATATTTAAATTCTTTTTTTAATGGTATAAATTTAATTTTGTTCGAAGGGTGTGGCCACAGCAAAAAATTGCACTAAAGACGGAAAATTGCTTTATTTTGATAAAAAGTATGAAAGTGCACGTGTTTAGACGTTTCTGTACAAATATGACGTCATCAAATAAAAAATCAGCATAAACTTTTTAAGTTTGATACTTAAGGATAATATTTCAATTGTTTTTTTTTTTCTTCTTCCCCTCAGTTTAATTTTCCTGAAAAAATAGGCCGATTTAGCCCCTTCGTGGATTTAGCTCTTTATCTGTAAAATTTGCACATGTATTTTCCTCACTGACAGCATAGTGGTGTTTAAAGACAATTAAAGCTGTTAGAAGTTTTTGCTTTAATCAGTACATTTCAGTTTTTTTCTGAATACAGTCTTTTGTATCAAATACTCGGCTTATTCATAGGGCGTTAAAAGCTAATGTTTTTAAAAAAAAAAAAAAAAAAAAAAAAAAAAAAAATATCATCAAAATGTGCACATTTGCTGCTTTTATCCTTGACGGAAATGAAATAAGAGCACCTGAAGTACAATATCCATAACATAGTATAACAGGTTTCACAATAAAAGTCAATTATGAAATTTGTTATTTTTCAAGTTTTTACGGGGGGAGGGGGGGGGGGGGGTGACATACATCCACTTCTGCTCCAAAGCTAATTGCGGGATTTTGAACAAAATATTTCTTCCTGCTATAAGCCTGTAGGCCGGTTAGAAACTGCAATATGTTTTTGGAATTTTTCTGTCAGTAGTGGTATAAATTCAATTCCTCGCGCTTGCGAGGGATTTCATCTAGTTCTTTTTAAGGGAGAGGACAAAACATACATTTATTTATTTTAGGTATTATTTCTCTCCTTTCATGAATCATTGTTTGATATAAGATACATATACTACACAATACGTACCAAATCAAAGCATACTCTTTGACTGTAGGAGATGATAAATAAGATGAAACTCTTGTTCTTTGGATGAAATGTGCATGAAGATAACAAACCCTCATAATGGTCAAAAGTCCATTTAAACATTACAAAAAGTAAGCCGAGCTTAATATTCAGAAGGATTTTCTCTATTTTCCAGGCTGTCTGTACTTTCGTCACGGCTCTTATCCATTATCTTTTCTTGGTGACCTTCTTCTGTATGTTGAGTATGGGTATCTACTATTGCATGAGTATAACCGTGACATTCTACGCCATGTATGTAGCCAACAATTTCAAGTCTAAATCCAGAGTGCAATGGTTCCTCTTGGGGTCATGGGGTGAGACATCGTTTTTTTCTTCACTATTTTGACTCTACTGTACATTAAATCATAATTAAGGCTCATTCAGGTATTCGACATTGTTATTATAAAGACTGTTGTAATCCATATTAGAAATAAATTTCATTATATTTCGATGTATAGTTATTATTTACAAACTTACATAATGCATTTTTTTTCCAGGCATTCCGTTAATCATTGCAGCAATAACTCTAGGAGCCTTCTGGGGGAATGATTATCATCTTAAACACTAGTATGTTATGTGCAAACTTCGTAAATCAGCATACACAGATATTTATGAAGATAGTAGTATTTATGATAGGTGACTTACAACACTAGGAGAAATTACATAAATAAATGTGCATACTTGAAAGAAGTACCGGACTTTTGAGAACAAAACTGATTTCTCAAATATTCCAAAAAGGTTAATCTGGAATCAATAGAAAAGCATTAAAAAAATATTTTTAAACAATTTTGTCAGAGTCATTAGCAGACGAAACTGCAGAACGGTTGGAGAATATTCTGCCTTTTAATCTACTGTCCTATGTGAAAACAAGTTTAACCAGAGCAAAGTGTATAACATCTAAAAATGGAGTTGTGTATTTTCTCAACATTTATATTTTTTTTTCAAACGAAAAATAGAAATTATATGATTGATTGATTGATTCTGTTTAATTGATGTTGCCGAGTCGGCAATATTTCAGCCATATTTCGGCGGTAAATAGAAATTATAAAAGATTTATTAAGGACAATCCCCAGATTAATGTTTATTGTAATATAGAGTGTTCAGTATGAGGAACCTAAGGCGTAAACAGAGGTAGCGAGTGTTCCTTCCCGGCACTAGAAGTGAAAGTCACTGGTTTTTCGGATAAAACCTTAAAAATCGAGGTCCCGTGTCACGGTATGTGTTGGCACGTTAGGACACGTCTCTGCTCAATGGCTCTGAGTGCCGAGTATATGTAAAAAAAAATTGATACACTTCACCGGTATATCGTGACGTCTCTATATGAGTGAAAAGATTCCAATGGGACGAAAAACAACATACAATCAAACTGAATGAGGAATGACAAATATGTCCTCTAAGCCCTTGATTTTTTTTTCAACATCACACAATTGTTCTCGCAGCACTTTTACAATGTTAATGACAGTAAGTTTTATTTTAAGAAGAATCTGATTGTATTCTACAGAGATTAATTGCCTTACAGTTGCTGGCTCTCAATGGAAAGTGGTTCCCTTTTTCTCTTCATTGTTCCAGTTTGTCTTATTGTTGTGGTAAGGATTCTTATTATTACTGAACATAAACCTGCTTCAGATAAAATTACCATCAATCAAGGACTAGGTACAACCAAATTGGTTGCAAGAAAGAGTCATAGCTGCCTTGCCGACGACTCAAAAATTTAAAAGGAAATAAACTGTTTCTATTTATAGACAAGTTTTCAATTCAAGATTTACCTATGTAATTTCATTTGTAGACGAGTGTTATATTTTCACGGGTGCAAGTATGGCATATGACAATCATTTTACATTTTCATTACTCTAATTTCGAGACAAAAGATTTTAAAATTCAATAAAAATAACAAGGAGCTATGAATTTGCATTTTATGAAATAATTAAGTACTATTTAAGATACATGGACTTTCAAAGTGTAACGTTTATATTATTATAACTTTCCGAAATTATGTTTATTATAAAGCATAAAGAAAACATGGAAAAAGATGCATAGAAAAAAATTAAGAAGTAATATTTGAAAAAAAATGTAGGGCTAGAACTCGGAATCACAATTTTTGGAAACCAGCAATCATACCACTGGGCCACGAAATCACTGATATCAGTATGAATAAATTCAAGACATATTGTTAACTCGCAAGGTAATATGAGAAGAAAATTGAATATATATTTTTATCATTTTTAATATAAAGACCATCTTTAATCAAAACAATCTAATTGAAATGCAGTGCAGTCATATCCAAATAAAATTAATCAAATGTTTTTTCTGGTTAATAAGGTTTCTGGTTTGGCAGCAGTCTCATCGTTTAGGTAGAAAGCTCAATATTTCCTATATACTCCATACAAATTCGATGAATATCATATTTATCATATAATGGAACTGTCATTATTCAAATATCATTATTGTTTAAGAGTTTAAACATGTATAAACTAAGATTGAATGTAAAAAAATTTAAAACTGTATTTAAAAAAATTGCTAAGAGTGGGACGAAAATGCCAATCAAATGGCAGCAGTCTGTCATCGTTTAGGTAGAAACCTCAATATTTCCTATATACTCCATACAAATTCGATGAATATCATATTTATCATATAATGGAACTATCATTATTCAAATATCATTATTGTTTAAGAGTTTAAACATGTACAAACTAAGATTGAATGTAAAAATTTTGGTTAAAACTGTATTTTAAAAAATTGCGAAGGGTGGGACGAAAATGCCAATCAGATGGCAGCAGTCTGTCATCGTTTAGGTAGAAACCTCAATATTTCCTATATACTCCATACAAATTCGATGAATATCATATTTATCATATAATGGAACTATCATTATTCAAATATCATTATTGTTTAATTTGAGTTTAAACATGTACAAACTAAGATTGAATGTAAAAGTTTTGGTTTAAACTGTATCTAAAAAAAAATTGCTAAGGGTGGGGCGAAAATGCCAATCAAATGCACTATGGCTCTTTGAAATCAAATATTCAATCAAATATTAATTTTAGATTAACATGATTATAATGGTGTCCCTGATTCGAGTGTTGTGCGCTTCCAGTGCCATGACAAAATCTTCACTTCAGAAAAAGGCCGCGTATGTAACTACATTTGTTTTGCACGAACATACGACGGCTGTCCATAAAGTTTGTGGACAATGATGTTTTTGTCAAAATGAATAGTCCTAGATATACTTATTGTATACCAAAATGTTTTGTTATGAAAATCCAAGCCAAATGAACAACCATCGTATGTACAAGTATAAGCATTTTCAAGAAAAGAAAAAAAATCGTTAACATATTTTTTTGTCAGACAACATATGAATTTATGAAATGGTATATACATAGTCATGTTTCATTTTCATTTTCTTGACAAATAATAGGAAATAATCTTAAATATGCTTTGTTAAATCAACAGATCTGGATTACGGTCTCTCGGTACCCTTTTACCTGTACTAGGTGTTACCTGGATATTTGGAGTCTTGGCTGTAAATGAAAGCGCTGAAATATTTCAGTACATTTTCATCATAGCCAATTCCTTACAGGTTTGTTGCGTTAATAATCGATGGTATTTCTGATAAAAAAAAAAAAAAAAAAAAAAGAAGATTTTTATGTGTAAAATAAAATATGGTTAAAAAGTCTTGTCTTTTTCAACGATCAAATAGATCTATACTCATTTCTTTTAAAAATTCAAACTTTCGTTTGTCTTTTAAAGTCTTGAATACATAAGTAATCTTTTGAAGCAAAGAATTTTGATATGAAATTATTTTACAGGGTTTATGTATATTCATTTCACACGTGCTTTTAAACAAAAAGGTAAGAACAACTGAATTATAAATGTGCACTCAATACAAATTCGAAAAATAAACATGAAAAGCAAATTTAAACTCGCTTCACTTATAAAACAAACTATGTGAAAATAAATATAGTCAGATTATCTGAACTCAAGATTTTTGATGTTGAAATTTTAAGCTGTTGCTGGGTATGAAGACAAAGTACCCATCTCTAAGTGGACTGAGTATATTCACAGAATCAAGCAAAAAGGAAACATCTTCTGTATCAAGGTCACATTCATCAAGATCTGAGACTTCATTGGTGAAACCAAAGGTAAGATACTTAATCTTATATTCTTGTAATCGTAAATCTGTCACATTGTTAGAAATCAATTACTGTAGTTACTGTTTTATTTTCAAGAAAAAACTAATCTAAAATATATTTATATCTTGATATATATATATATATATATATATATATATATATATATATATATATATATATATATATATATATATATATATATATATATATATATATATATATATATATATATATATATATATATATATATATATATATATATATAAAGCACTAAGAATGACCAACGACATGAACAATAGAAATTGATCAAATTTTCGGGACGCCCTGTCCCTTCCTCAGGACAAATGAAAAAGTGAAGTCATAAAAACAAAGGAAATAGAAAAACAAAAACGGCTAGCACTACTACTAAACTACCAAACACTATTTATTTACAATGTTACATGCTTCTCAGAAAATGCCTTAAGCTTAGGCTTGTATAAGAAAGATAACAAGATGTTTATACTTATTTAAATTTATTTGTCGATATAGGCCACGGCTGCTTTATACAATAAGGGAGCCAGGCATCAATTATTGCCTTCATTTGGCATCCCCAAAAATAAACAAGCATAAATGGTGGGCCCTGGGCACAGATGCTCACCTGCTTGAACAATAATTGCAAAGATCATTCAATTAGGCACCAAGTCATATAGACAAAAATATAGGTTTGGCACTACTGGTGAACCAAATATCCGCCTGGCAATATGCTTATCCTGGTAGGATGCGATTTCAGCCGTGACGTTTTGGACAAGGCCTAGGTGCGGAGATGGATTACAGCTTATCTGAAAAAGAAAACAACAAAACACGAGAAAGCAGAAGCCACTTTTAGTAAACATAATATGACTTTTTCCATGGGATGTGGTTGGAGGTGGGGGGGATAGGAATTTTGTAGAAACGTGATTTTTTGCGCTTCACGTCACCAGTTTTGGTGCTCAGGTTTGCCTAATAACCCCAAAACCCCAAGGTTAGGATGATGCTAATTCCAGGGCTGGACCCAAAGGATAACCACGAACGACAAAATATTAAAAAAAAAAACAAGCTTAGTGACACTTTGATAAATGGATTTAACTTTGAGTGGTTAAATCACATTAATTTAATTTAAAAGTTTATAATCAACTGGAAAGAAATAAATCCGGACAGCTATGAAATACGTCCGGTCTCTAGGGTGTACTCTGGTGAAGTGCGATTTACATAATTGAACGAATTAATTATCGCTAATTAATTACGGCCAAGCAGTAAATCGTACACTGTATTATTCTATCAAAATAGCATAAATGTACATGATAAAAAGAAACCAAAGAAAGATAATATGGAAGAGAAATTTCCATCCTTGACCTTGTATCTATTTAGTAGATCCAACACTTACATGTAGGATATACAGTGTTGTTGGTTTTTGTGGTGTTCTCTCTCTCTCTCTCTCTCTCTAAATCTGCTTTATTGTTACTATGTCTTCTTACAGAAAAAGAGAATACCGCCAATATTTGGAATATTTTCGAGCAAAAAGACTGGGAAGAACAATAAAGTCATGAAATCCAACTCTTTTATGACGGATAAAACTGTGTCTACTGATTGTCCCTGTAGTGAAATTCAGGAAAATGTAATATGTGTTGTCTTTGGCATTATACATGAAATATGAACGAAACGAATATGTACTTAATATGTTATAATTATTAACTTTTTTTCAGAGTTTGGTAATTACAAAAAATGCTCCTAAAGAAGAAGAAAGTTTGAAAACGATTCTCATACTAGAAGAAAAAACGGTGATATTTCATTTTAGAATAGAATATTACACATGTATATACATCGTAAATCAATATAGGTCCATGAGAATCCTTTCTGAAATTTCTCTCAGTTTCAATGCAAAATGCAATATTACATGTATTTGCCGGACATTCTGTTCCAAAATTAGAGAGAGTTTTTTAAAATAGATTTTTGGAATAAATTTCATCAGAGATTAAAATCCTTTCTTTTTATAAGCTATCATTTAAAGTTCCTTTGACAAATTCATCTTTTGATTACAGAAGATATACCTGTTGGCCCAGTTAAAATAACTTGTTTAGGTCTCTTTTTTAGGTTTGGTTTTGTTACGTCTTCTGTTGCCATAGGAATACTTGATTTTTTAATTTTAATTTTCTTTTTTGTTAACATCTGTTAATAAGGTAAATTAAGGATCTATATCTACCAACAATAGGTAATTTCTGAAAACAACATTGTGAAATCATTTTAAATAATTTGTAAAATTTCAATTAAATGCTATGAAAGTAATGTAGGGTACTAATTGTAGTCCTGAAAGAAATCAAACAAGAGTCTTTAGGGCCTTGAATAGCTCTTCCGATAATTTGTACAAACTATCATTCCTATTTGAAGCGTGTAATTATCCTATATATTTAAATAAAGTCTTGAAAGTCATAAAGTAGGTCAATTTGACCTACATTTTGGTTAAAACACCTTAGAGCCCAAGATGCCTTAACTGATAAAGTTTAATGATTTGAACCCCCTTATTATCTTAAATATCCAGATAAGGCCATGAAATTCCAAAAGTAGGTCACGGAAACTTACTTCTTGGTAAACATACTCCGATGATCCAAAGTTACATCAACTGACAAAGTTTGATAATTCTAAGTCTCTTATGATTTGAAATATTTAGATATTGCCTTAAAAAATTAAAAAAAATAGGTCAATGTGACCTTCTCTTTAGTTGACACATTCTGAGGACTCAAGATACATCAACTAACAAAGTTTGATGATTCAAAGCCAATTAGTATCTGAAATATTTAAATATAGCATAACATTTTAAAAGTACGTTATATTGACCTACTTTTCAGTTGACACACTCTGGGGACGCAAGAAACATCAACTGACAAAGTTTGATGATTCTACGCCATTAGTATCTGAAATATTTCAACATAGCAATAAAATTCGAAAAGTGGGTAAAGGTGACCTATATCTCAGTTGACATACTCCGAGGACCCAAAATGCATAAACTGACAAGTTTTGATGATTCTAAGCCAAGTAGTATCTGAAATTTAAATATAGCAATAAATCTTCAAAAGAAGGTCACGGTAAACTACTTTTCAGTTGACATTCTCCGAGAACCCAAAATGCATCATTTGACATAGTTTGACGAATCTTAGCCAATTACAATCTGAAAATATTTAAATACATGTATAGTCGTAAGCCTTCAAAACTAGGTCACGGTGACTAACTTTCCAGTTGACTTACTCCAAGGACCCAAAATGCATCATCTGACAAAGTTCGATGATTCAACGCCAATTAGTATCTAATATATTTAAATACAGCCAGAAAATTCAAAAGTAGGTCATGGTGACCTACTTTTAAGTGACATACTTTGAGGACCCAAGATGCATCAACTGACAAAGTTGATGATTCAAAGCCATTTAGTATCTGAAATATTGAAATATAATCTTAAAATTCCAAATGTGAACTACTTTTCAGTTGACATACTCCGGGGACTCAAGATGCATAAACTGACAAAGTTTAATGATTCAAGGCCAACTAGAAAAATGACCAGTCAGCAAGGGCCCCGCCGAGGGGTAGAAATACAATGGTGCAGCTTATGGAATGAGAAGTTTACTTGATTACAAAAATTTAAAAACATGTGAAGAAGAATAAGCAACAGCAGCTGTATTTATAAAATTTCAAGATAATTCCTAAATATCCAACAACCTGCAAATAATATCCTTGGTTTTACATACTGCAGTAAAAAAAAATCTAATATATCTCATATCTTATAATATATTTTAACTCAATTAAAGGGTTTTTATCACGTATCTAAATTTCTTAAAAATGAAACACTATTATATTCTTGAAACATATAATTATCATTTAATCATGAAATAATGTTGAAAACGGCCGTAATTAGACGACTCAGGACTTCGACTAAATAGAACGAATTACTAAATTTTAACTTCGTAAACATTTATAAATATGGGAATTTTAAATTTCTCTTTCATTATTATTTTAATCAATTACATATGAATAAATCCTGTATATCTTCTATCTGTTCTAGCAGTGAATATCATGTACTAGAAATGACACTTTTTCAATGGCGCCGTACGCCACTACGATGTTCACAACATACTTACTAGATTCTGTGCGACTTTTAAAAAATGCGTGTTTGTCATTTATTATTTTTTAAAGGTATCTTTCTTTAAAATATTTTATAGGAGAGAAAAAAATTCGTGATCGATCGGGCATAAACGATTGTTCTGAATGGAGATAAACGCCATGTCGCATTTGCAGAAAAAGGCCCCAGTCCAGGAAATGTGGAAAAATAATTCTTCCTAAAACCTTTCTTGTGCACATTTGTGCATCCTAACGCCATAGATTATACCTTACTAGCTATCAATTATCCAATTATCACTTAATAATGTTCTAACTGGTTTAATAGACACAACAAATAAGCCCTTTTGTATACACAGTAAGTACTTCGCTTGACCAGGATTGACACCTATGACGTCAGAGCAATGGCGCGTAACATCGGCGATCAAAATATGCGTATTGAGAAATTCAAACTTTGACTCGCTGAAACATCAAAAATATTAATCTTCAAGCAAAGATTTTTAAATATATGATTGTAATAGCATGTACAATTTGTCATCTCAAAAAAATTTGAGACGTGATAAAAACCCTTTAATTAAATGTATATTAAAGCAAGATTTATAAAATGCCAGCCTTCAGTGAATGCAAATATTTTCCAGGCTTGACCTTAACTTGAAAACAAACATCAGTTGCAGAAAAAGATTTTAATTAATCTTAAAGTGACAGATAAAGATAAGCCCATAAATTTTCTGCAGCAGACAAGATAATTTACCCCAGGGGATTAATTGTACTGCTCCCTTATCCTTTTCTTCTTAGTTTACAATAAGAAATTTTTCAGCAATGATAGAATGAGGTTATCATCCGACTACCTGTTAATATTAATGGTATTCTTGAATTTACATAAGGCAACCAAAATAAATAAATAAATAAATTAATTAATTAATAAAAAAATATTAAAATAAATACAATGATAATAATAGTAAAAAGATATTTTTATCTATATTTTGTTTTTAGAATTCAATAAAATCATAACTCATTGTGTTTTTTAACCAAAATAAAACATGAACATTATTTAAATCTACATTTCAGAATGTAAACGTTATTCAGAATTGACCTTAACTTCAAAACAAACTTCATTTTCAGACAGAGGTGTCAATTAATCTCAGTGTGACAGATAAAGATAATGCTTTGGATTTTCTTGAAGAGGAAAGTTAATTAATCCCAAGGGACACATTGCAGCTTTCATAGTTTACAATAGAAACATTCTCAGCAGTTATCTCTCTTTGCCCTGGCATTCATTCTAATATAAAGTTAAGGAATCTACCCCACCACCCCAGCTCCAAACCAGATGTCAAAGAGAACCAAACATATGTCTTACTGTCAATGCAACCAACATACACAATTTGAACTTAATACCTTGCGCGGCTAGGATAAGGCTGTCCGTAAAATATCAAACTGTTCCAACTGTAGTAACTTCTCTGAACTACCTAGATATGACGTCATAATAGCATATGACGTCAAGTCACTGCATACTTGAGCTTACATGACGGGGAAAGAGTCAAAATTTTTAGATCATGTAAAGATTTTTTAGCGTTATTGTTTGATTCAAGCGTTTGGATTGTTCTTTAAGCTTAAGTGTGCTGTTATGATGTTGAACATTTGCAATTTAATATCGTTATTCATTGAACTTGTCCGATATACATATACTCAAACAATAACAACAAAATTGACAGTGAAACCTTCCACCTTACACGTCCGTGGACAGAACTAGAATTTATAAATCGTGTATATATTTGACTGGCACAAGTGATTAAAAAGGATAATTTGAAGATATTCTGTGTGAATCTACTAAAGAAGTATGTCCTCTAACTGAATTTTGCTGGGGGTATGTAATTTATCCTATCTTGTATAAATTGCGATTAAGAGTGGAAAATGCATCCTTGTATATGGGTAAGTTGAATTTCTCGTGGAATATTTTCTCAAGAAATAAAATTCAGACTTGCCCCCAGAACTTTTTATGAACCAAAGATCACGATGAATTGACTAATGTGACTAATTTTTCTCAATTATGTTGTTTTGCACTTGTGCCGATGCGATTTTTGTGCAACATTTAGGAATTTATAAGTGTCCGTCACGTGCTCAGCAGTCATGTGACATCATAATAATGCATTATTAAAATACCTGATTACAATCTCATCACAAGTTGACTGCAAATTCATACATAGATTGCAAACCGAAATTAATATTTAGCTCAAAATAAACTGTATATTTTAATGCATATTAAGATTTCGGACGGCCTTAACATAGCTGCGTGGTTAAATCCTTGCAGGACACTAATTAGTATCAGAAATATTAAAATATAGCCATAAAATTCCAGAAGTAGGTCATGGTGACCTACTTTTCAGTTGACATTCTCCGAGGACCCAAGATGATCATAAGCCCCAAGCGTCCAAAATATGCCTCTAAAACAATTTGAAAATCAATGCTTGCAAAATTCAAAAAGTGGGTCACTGTGGCCTCTCAGTATCTGAAATAATGACTTTATTTTTTTTTTGAAATGATTAGCCATAGATTCAAAAAGTAGGTCAGGGTGACCTACTTTTTGGTTAACACACTTAAAGGCCCATAA